CACCGGAGGAGATGCAGACGTTGAGCGGTTGACCACATGAACCACAATCATGTTGTCCGTAAGAACAACCACCTTACAATTGGCAAACTCCCTACCCCAAAGTTCCTCTGCTACAACTACAGGGAAAAGTTCCAAGAATGCTAAATTTCCTAACAAGTCACTCCCAAGCCTCCGCGTGCCACTGCCCTTGAAAGTAGGTACCGAAGCCAACAGAAACTGACGCATCAGTATATAAGTCTAAATCCCCACTGGACACAGCGGGCCACAACCAGCACGATTGCCCATTATACATACCCAAAAAGGAACTCCATACTTGTATATCTTCCTGATGTCGTTGAATGATATAGATAAAATGAAAAGACTTCTTGACCCAAACCGTCGACAAGGACAGCAGCTGATATAGCGCCCTGCCCATGGATAAAACCCGACATGCAAAATTCAAATGCCCTAACAAGACCTGCAACTGATGAAGTTGCACTTTCTTGGCTCCCTTAACCGAGTCCACCATACGAAGCAATTGAACCAGTTTATTCTCCAGCAGACGAAAGAATCCACTTCCATCCCCAGATACGACAAAACTCTAACTAGCCCCACTGTCTTGTCCCCCGCCACCAGGACTCCAAAGTCCGATGCGAACTCACAGTCCTCTGACTCCTGCGGACCCACACACAAAAAAAACATCCAGATAGTGAGTCAGCGACGACAGGCCTGCCACCTGAGAAACCACCCATTCGAGAAACGATGCAAACATTTCAAAGTACGAACACGAAATCGCGCAACCCATTGGCAAACACATATAAAAAAAAAGAACGACCCCTGAAAGTGGCATCTCAGCAGGGTGGACCGGGAGCAAACGAAAATTGGACTCAATGTCCGACTTGGCTAGCAGAGCACTCAGTCCAGCCTGCCCGCACCAACTCGATCAAAGGAGGCATATTGGACACGAGACACCTCCTCATCAATATCAATATCATCATTCACCGGACCGCCTGACAAGTAGGACAGCTGATGAATGAAGCGAAAAGCCCCCGGATCCTACTTGGGCATCAACCCTAGGGAAGAGACCCATAAACTGGGAAAGGGCAATGAGTTGAACGGCCCAGCAATTCTACCTAACAGAACTTCCTTCCTAAGCTATCCTCCAAAATCAATTCCTTACCACCAACCACCAACTACTGAATGTAAATTTCCCACAAACGACGGGGATTCCGAATGAACAAACGGTATCCAAAAACCCACTGAAAACGTGTCATGGTTCTCACCGTGACATCCAGGACGTGGTCCCAGACCTGCTTTACTACCTGTAAGCCCCAGCAGCTCCTATTCCATGGAGTATTTCTAGCCCTGTTCTACCTGACAATGTCTCCAGCACTAGGGGGTTGGACTTTTCCTGTGACTGCTCATGTCCATCTCAGTCCACCTGAAGCAGCTGCCTAATCAGCCAGGTATAAAACACTGCCTCTCTCTGAGGGCAGTGTCAGTTCATTGACTCTGGTTCCTGTATTTGTGTTCTTGAGCCAGTGTTCTCCAGATGGATCCTGACCTTGTTTATCTTATTATTTATCCTGACCACTGGCATCCTCTGACTTTGGCTTCTCCTCGACGATCCTCCTGCTTGTGTCCTTGCCTGTACTGCGACTTGGAGCTATATCCTGCACATCCCCCATGCACAGACTCACAGGCCAGGTGGCTTCTTATCTGGTCACCTTGGTCTGTGTTTATTTGTAAGGTTGAGCATATATCTCTGCATACTGGACTCCACATCAGGTAAGATTCCTGACAAAAGACATCTAGCAAAATTTGCTTGGGATACTGGTCGAGCTACGGTTGCATCCTTACCACGCACACCGATTTCCTCCGCTCTAGGTATGTCCTATCTGGAAAACCTACTTCCTTGCTTGCCTTTTTTAAAGCACCGCAACGCAGGGTGGGCTCCTCCACAATGGCAGCATTTGTGTTTGAATCTGCAGGATCCATACCACCTGCAGTGGATCTCGTTAAAGAGCCAACAAACCCCCTTGTGCTGCCCCCCCAGTGCACTGAACTCTGCGCCGGCTGCTCCTGGATAGTGGGACGGCTGAAAGGGAGTCATTAACAGCAATCATAGGCTCCCATTCTGGATCCCAAAATTCAGGCCTCAACTCACTGCCAGTTTTTAGAAAAATTGCTGGTCATACATGCTGGTCATACTTAAACCAGCATTGACCCCAATATATCTTATAAACCTCCTAAATCAGGTCTAAGAACCCGAACAATGCTGATGTCCAGCGACAAATGCATCCCTAATGGGGACAATTCGCAACCCGGTGAACCCCTGGGAGCACACCCTCCATACTCCTACTATGGCTCAGGGACTGGGCAGGAAGGGGGGAAAGAGCAGAGGAAGAGAGAGGACCAACCCCAGGAAGCCTATCTAGCACTGCCTTAAGGAAACTCAGCACCTCCTGACTCTGAAACCCAGGCCCAATACCCAGAGATCCCTCTCACCCACCCATGGGCCCAGCAGTGTGTCCTATGCGCTGGTGCAATACTCATGGTTGGCTGCCTGAGGAACCTGAGCAGGAACCACCGAGGCCTCCTCATCCAAACTGGAACTGTCTGACAGAGAAGTGGTGACTGCCGATCCGTAGCCAGCCACCAGGCCTGAACGCAATCCGTTCCTGGAGTTCCTTTTTTTCCTATCTCCATAAAATCCAGCGTGGAACGCAAGACCTTCGATGGCCGCGCTATTCTGCGTGACAACGTCATGTACTCGCCTTGTGCGATGACATTGACATCCGGCGTGCGCGAGCTGCGTGGCATGCACGATGACCTAATTTCCTGCTGGACCAGAAGAGAAGCGTATTGCTCCCAACGCCATCTTGGGTCTGCACCTCATTGACATCTCCACCCCTACTCCGTCGTCTCTTGGACATCGATGGCTGCTCCGTGGGCATGGCCAGGCCCCCACTGCCATCCCAAATCATCTGTCTCTTCTGATCTCTTTGCCACACCGAGCTGGAGGATAAGCTTGATGGAGGCCTCGATCTTCTGTCCCTCCGTCCCCCAGGTCCGTCGCTCCCACCGGTTTCTGCATCCTCTGCTGGACTAGCCATGGTCCTCACACCCCAAACAAGGGAGTCTAGGGCACTCTGGTCGTGTGACTCCAGATAGGACTGCAGAAGTCTCTGCAGGTCAGTCACTGGGCAATCCTTACAGCCATAAGAACAAGGAAGGGAGAAAGTGCCAGCAAGTGTTAAGAAAGGGGAAAACTGCTGGGAATTTGAGCTAATGGATGATGTTTGCTTATTTCTCAGGGTACAGTCAGCCAGAAAACAGTCAGGAGCCCTCAACTGATCCTGCCGACTGGTAAGTCTGCTCCCTCTCCCTCTCCACCAAACCCTTCAATTTGCAACATTTGTTTCACCTTTAATCCAGTCCACAAGCCTGGGCAGTAGTCATGCCCCCCCTTCCATAGTTGTCCAGGGGGAAACTTATTTACAATTCACAGAAATAAAAACCACATTCACAAACTGTCTAGCCACAGAAATGCACCTCACATTTATGCAACGGTTCGCCACAGAAATACACCCCCATATTTACACACTGATTTTTACACATAAATGGACTCCCATATTTACACATTGATACTCCAAATAAATATAGCACAAGAAAATCGATGCTCCAGGACTAATATATATATTAAGATGCAATATTTATTAAGTGTAAAATCTCATTGTAGAAATGAGACACTGTATATCATCTGCTTTCTATACAAAAATATAAATTACAGGGTGCACGTATAAAAATATTGATTATATAAATTTCAACACTACAAATGTGATATCAAACTAAGAGAATATGTAGTGTGAGTGCTCCTAAATAGAGTTGAGTGGACACCTGGGTGTTCGGGTCCAGCGGGTTCGGACGAACTTTGAAAAAAAGTCCGGGTTCGGTCTTGAACTTGACCCTGAAACCCAAACCCCATTGAAGTCAATGGGGACCCGAACTTTTGGGCACAAAATGCCTCTAAAAAACTCCTTGAAAGGGCTAGAGAGCTGTAAAAGCAAGTAAAATGGGGTAGGACAAGAGTAGGACAAGTGCCCTAAAAACAAATGTGGATAGGGAAATCACTTAAAATAACATAAAAATTAAAAATACAGTTGAGCCATGAAATAGCACTAGATGGAATCTTTGATTTTAGCTTTGGAAGAACATAAATCAAAATCTAAAGCATGGTTGTCAGGAGGATCACCAGAATTATTCATTTGAGAGAGGGTTGGAATGCAGGGTATTCTCTTTCATTGTTCAAACTGAGCTCAACTCCTGATGCATGGAGAAAAGGCATTCACAAGCCTCTGCTATTGTGTACATAGTTTATACTAAGTGACCCATAGGTTGAGGAGGCGGTGACCGTGGCGCTGTAGGTGGAAGCAGCGGTGGAGGAGGAGGATGAGGTAGCCAACACTGTATTTTATGTTTTTTTGTTTTTTTAATTGTGGTAGCCCACCAAATATTGGGACATACAAATAAAGTAACATTTGCGGCCTGCGGTGCATTTCTGCAGTCCTGATGTATGGAGAAATGCTCAACTTCTGATGCATGGAGAAAAGGCCTTCACAAGCCTCTGCTAATGTGTACCTAGTTTATACTAAGTGACCCATAGGTTGAGGAGGCGGTGACTGTGGCGGTGGAGGATGAGGTAGCCAACACTGTATTTTATGTTTTTGTTAATTGTGGTAGCCCACAAAATATTGGGACATACAAATAAATAAACATTTGCGGCCTGCGGTTCATTTCTTGCAGTCCTGATGCATGGAGAAATGCTCAACTCCTGATGCATGGAGAAAAGGCCTTCACAAGCCTCTGCTAATGTGTACCTAGTTTACATTAAGTGACCCACAGGTTGAGGAGGCGATGACCGTGGCGGTGGAGGAGGAGGATGAGGTAGCCAACACTGTTTTTATATATATATATATATATATATATATATATATATATTTTAATTGGGGTAGTCCCCAAAATATTGGGACATATAAAAAAAGACAACTCTGTTCCGCAGAGTAGCTGTTGACATTATAGTTGCGCAGGCACTTTGTTGACTCTAGAGAACCTCGGGCCAATCGCACATCCCCGTGGCGGCGACTTTGCATTTGGATGTCATCCATATAAACTTTCGATGCAGTTTCTGTGCCTACCATGGTGACCACGGGTAACAGGGAATCAGGGTTCCATTCCATCCAGGGACCCTGAGAAACGGCTACCACATGCAAGGAAGGCAGCAGGCGCGCAAATGACCCACTCCCGACGCGGGAAGGTATTGATGACAAATAACAATACAGGACTCTTTAGAGGCCCTGTAATTGTAATGAGTCCACTTGAAATCCTTTAACTCTGATCAATTGGAGGGAAGTCTGGTGCAGAGCCACGTGCATGCTGCAGCTGAAACTCCACTATTGCTTGCTGCTGCTCGCACAGTTTCATGAGGCGGTGAGCGGGAAGGCCAAAGTTACGCTGTAAGCGCACTATTAGACGCTTCAATTTGACTCTCAGATATGAAATGCACGCTCCAAAATGTGCTATTTAGCAGTTTAGCATCGAAACAATAAGAATGTTTACAACTGCGCTCTAAGCGCACTATCAGACGCTTCTATTTGACTCTCAGATATGAAGAGCAGGCTCCAAAGCGTACTATTTAGCAGATTAGCACCCAGAAAATAAGAATTTTTACAACTGCACTGTAAGTGCACTATAAGAAGCTTCTATTTGACTCTCAGATATAAAGAGCATGCCCAAAATGTACTATTTAGCAGATTAGCACCAAGAAAATTAGAATTTTTACAACTGCGCTGTAAGCACACTATTAGATGCTTCTATTTGACTCTCAAATATGAAGAGCAGGCCCCAAAATTTACTATTTAGCAGATTAGCACCAAGAAAATTAGAATTTTTACAACTGCGCTGTAAGCACACTATTAGATGCTTCTATTTGACTCTCAGATATGAAGAGCAGGCCCCAAAATGTACTATTTAGCAGATTAGCAGCAAAACAATTAGAATGTTTACCACTGCGTTGTAAGCACACTATTAGATGCTTCTATTTGACTCTCAGATATGAAGTGCATGCCCCAAAATGTAGTATTTAGCAGATTAGTACCTCTTAGCTATTGATAACTGGTTTAAATATAGCAGCTTGTTATCTGGTAGTTTCTAGTGTAGAAAATATCAATCTGTTTTCTATCACTTAGATCTGAGTAACAAGTGTTGTAGGTGTGAAACAATATTACAAGTGACCGATGTAGTAAATTTGAATCAAAGCTACGCTTCGATTTGACTCTCAGATATGAAGAGCAGGCCCTAAAATGTACTATTTAGCAGATTAGCAGCAAAACAATTAGAATGTTTACCACGGCGCTGTAAGCACACTATTAGATGCTTCTATTTGACTCTCAGATATAAAGTGCACCCCACTAATGTACTTTTTAGCACCCCAAAAATTTCAAGTTTTAAAACTGCAATGTGACAGCAGTATTTGACGATTCTATTTGACTCTCAGATATGAAGTGCACCCCACTAATGTACTATTTAGCACCCAAAAAAATTTACTTCTTAAAACTCCGATGTAACCGCGGTATTTGAAGCTCTATTTGACTCTCCGATATGAAGTGCACCCCACTAATGTACTAGTTTGAAGAATTCTTTCCTAAGCTGTCCCTCACAGCAGCAGCATCCTCTCCCTCTCCCTACACTAATAAGACCTCATGTGCGTGCGGCGCTACGTGACTCCAGCTTATATATAGAGGCTGGGTCACATGCTGCACTGGCCAATCACAGTCATGCCATTCGTAGGCATGGTTGTAATGACTTCTAAGGGCACACGAAAGCCCTGCAGCCTTTCAAAAGCTCCATTAAATCGCCGAACACCGAACTCCAACCCGAACATACAGTGATATGTCCGTGTTCGGGTGCGGGGTCCAAAAAACCTAATGTTCGGTACGAACCCGAACTTTACAGTCCGGTTTTGCTCAACTCTACTCCTAAATAATAAACAAAATAAGTATACACGTATAGTGTTTACTTTATTTAATATTCCCAGGACACAGAAAATAGAGCATAAAACATAAAATGACACTGAAGTTTAATGTAGTATTTAATTATCAGTGTAAGAATAAAATCACCAAAAGATATGGGTAGAAAAAAAAAAAAACAACAGGCCTGTCATACCTTTCTGTGGAGGGCCCCCACCACGGATCCTAAATACGATGATAAACAAAGTGATGCTGCAGAGAATGGTCCAGAAATGTGTGAAAATTTGTAATTGGCAAAGGACGAAGAATTTAGTAACTCTTTGTGAAGAATAACCCCAAGAGGCAAAATATTCCCTCTAAAAAAATACTTTCACTGATAGAGCATTCAAGGATAAGGATAGGAAAACAACAAAATATTATGTGGAAGTTGTGCAAAGCAATGCAATGCATAACTATAGAAAGAACAATGTGCCTACTCCTAAAAATAGGAGAATCCACAAGATATCCCAGATTGAGAAACCTAATCGTATTCCCATACTATGGTTACACAGTCATTTGTGTCCTGTGAGCACGGTTAGGGGCAATTCTGAGTGTAGGCTGACCAATAATCTCGGGGCACGCCTCAAAACTAGGGCTCCAATAGTTTCTATAGAGAGATTTTTTTTAGGGGTGGAATTACCCAGCACCTCCAAACCTTTTTCCACTGTTTATAAACACAAAAACAGTTTGCAGAAAGAGGGATCCCCCCATAAGGGAACACAAAGAAGGGGATATCTATCCAAAACACGATAAGGTGCCTTCCATGAAAGGTATCTTTACTATTTCGTCTTACACCCTGAAACTAGCTGAAGTTGAATTTTGCTCCCTTGAGGAATCCTGTGATATTTGATCTATTCAAAGATCCTAATTATTTTATCAGGAAACTAACAATAACCAGGACTTTTAACATAAAAAGGGCAAATAGCCTAGAGAATTGCCCCAGTTTTTTTTAACAATCCTCACGATAAGATCATGTCAGATCATGATTGATGTCCCTTTTTAAATGATCAAGGGGAAGGGACACAGAATGTGGATGCACTGAGGGTGGTGAATGATAACATCTTCTCACGTCTTAACATGCCTTTTTCCCTCTAGCTGATAAACACTGGTGGAACTACCGCGGTCGCAGCTGGGACCAGCTTTCAGCGCTGCGGCGATTTAACAGCGCGACTGGGCCCCCTGAGATGATGTCAGCCGCTGGGAGGAAGTGACAGCCCCCGTCACTCCTCCTAGCAATCACACAGAGCCCGCGTGGGACGAGGGAGTCAGAGTGAGAACTCTGACTCCCATTAGGCTGAGCCACCACTGGACCCCAGGATAGTTGAAACATTTTGTGTATATGTGTATGTGTGTCTGTATGAATAAAGTCTGTATGTATATGTGTGTGTATATGTCTGTCTATGTGTTTGTATGTGTGTGTGTGCAGTGGCGTACACACAATCCATGGGGCTCCGGTGCATAACTGATCCATGGGGCCTCCCCACCGCCACCCCATACAGACACACACAGATACATACACACAGATACATACACACACATACAGACACATACACAGACAGACATACATACATACATACAGACACACATACAGACTCACACATACAGACACACACATACACTAACACACATACACTAACACACACATGCAAAATATTTTAGTCACCCTCCTATGACCTACCTTTTAGGTGCAGGAGGGTGACTTTCCTGGGGTCCAGTGGCTCAGGTTGATGGGAGTCAGAGTTCCCACTCTGACTTCCTCTCCTTCCTCCCGCACGGGTCCTGGTGGTTGCTAGGAGGTGTGACCGGGGCAGTCACTTCCTCCCAGCATCTGACATCATCAGAGGGGGCCCGGCCGCGCTGTAAATAATTTGGAGAGAGAGGAAGGAGGTGCCCTAAAAAGTTTAAGAATGAACAAGAATGTTGTAAAAGGGGCAGATAAGGGTGGGGTGATAGTTCTGTTAAATAGACAGGACTTTCTCATGGAAGCAAGAAGAATCCTATGGGATAAGGATTGCTATAGGGAGTTGTCTCATTGCCAAGGATTTACGTGCACTCATTGATGTGGTTCATAGTAGAGGGACGTAACTTCTATCCACCTCCCGGGATGTACCAATTTTCTCTTAGCTCCCCAAGATTAAAAAAAAAATCTAATCTTGAGCTTACGTGGATATCCCCCTAAGTTGGTCCAAGTAGCCTATACAAAAGCCATGGATATGCATAGAACTAAACTCATTAAAGGGACTCTCCGGTGCCAGGAATACAAACCTGTTTTCCTGGCACTGCAGGATCCTGCAGTGCCCCCCTCCCACCCCCCATCTCATGTCGCTGTAGGGGTAAAAACCACTTCAGCTACTTAACTGAATCTACTGCCGATGTCCCTCTGTATATTATGTGAATAATAACCTAAACAAACTTTGGTTTTCTAGGTGGACTTTTAGAACCCCGATTCAGTCAAACATGTGAAGCCTCAGATGACCATAGATTTTCATGTTAATGCCAAGCATACAGACTGAATCCAACTTCTCCTAGCACGGAACACAGTAGACTATGAGTGAGATTCATGAACTTTATATCCATTTTCATACCATCAAATTAATAAAACATACCCTTCATCTCTGGCCGTAGTGGTTATATCAGTATATACCTGGATAATACTTGTTTGTATCGGTTCTGTCCTTCCACAATATAAACTTTACCACTATCAGCTGGAATTGCCCTAATTTAAATTTTAAACTAGAACTGTAATTTCTCTAGGAATCACACCACCGATCACTGAAAACAATGAAAATCACTTATAACTTATGTTAAAGGGACAGTGTAGGCACCCAGGCTACTTCAGCTAATTGAATTAGTCTGGGTGCTGTGCCATTTTTGCACTTAGTGCTGCAATGTAAAACATTGCAGTTTCGGAGAACTGCAATGTTACATTGCAACGCTAAGTCTGCGCTCTGTGGCTGTCTAACAGACAGCCACTAGAGGGCTTCCAGAAACCAAACTGACTTTTGGTCCTTTATCTGTCGCTGGATGTTCTCACGGACCTCCAGCGTCAGATTTTCCCCGTAGAAAAGCATTGAATAATGCTTTCCTCTGAGGAGGTCTAATGATCGCGGCCATTGCCAATGAGGAGGCCAATGCGCGTGCATTAACCTCCCCATATGAAAGCATTGTTCAATGCTTTCATATGGGTAAAATCTGATGCTGGAGGTCCATGAGGACATTTAGCATCAGATAACGAACAAAAAGTCTGTTACAGATCTC